TAACCCCAATCACATTGCTCCTATGCCTTTGAGCTCTAGAGTTCGACCTGATAGATCCCACCTCAAAGCCCTACCTCTTCCTTAATATGTTTGAATTCTGCTTCTAACTTGCTACGAACACAATGTGCCTTACACATTTACTGTAGAGATAAAAAACATTGACCATAAGCCCCCTGAAAAGAAAATATTTTCTAAATGATAATTTCAATAATTTGCATTTCTCTACGGCACGATAACAACGATAACAATCTGTTAAGTCCCTGATTTGCAAGATATCTTTGCCATCTTGTCTTTCCAAGTTTCCCCAGTCCTCTTTTGTTGAAACCAAGCATAGGACAGAAATCAAAAACTATAAAGGTGCATTCCTAGACTTTCCGGGATCTGGAATAAAGACTATCCAAAGACTGACCTTCAGTTTTGAGCTTTGAAGTTCAAAAGTGGACAGGTGGAAATATTGTGTTCTTCATTGCCCTTTGGTGCGAGATATATTCTAGGTTGCAGAGTAAGTGCCAACAGCAGCAAAATTATCGCCCCCTCCTGCTACTGTAGTAAGTCAGCAATGGCTCTTCTGTGGTCAAAATGGCAAATTCAGCAGCAGCCATTCGACAGGGATTTGCAAAAACTTCCCCATGGCTGTTAGGAATCTTATTCAGCAGTGTCTTTGAAAATCCGATTCTTTGCAGAATTTACTATGTAGAAATGACCTCGGTTGCGATTAAAAAAAAAAGTGTTTTAAACAAATCTAATCTGTAATTTCTCTCCATGTATATTTTTGTGCTTAACACTGCAAAGTCTATTAGGTACCTATCCATATATCCAGCATTCATAAGTTTTATAGTGGTTCATAATTTTATTTCCATATTAACATAAAAAATTCCTGGCTTTATGGAGTCAGTTCGCCATACAAAGCCACTATACATCACTTAGGTTTGTGCTGAAAGAATGGAATTGCAGCTGTGTGAGTACTAGAATACCCAAACATGAATTAGACTCACAAGCATTTGGCAATAGTTCAGAAAAGGAGCTTAATCTGGTTTCATCTGAGACTGCTTTTCTCTGATCTGCAGCATCCCCCCAAGATGTTGTGTCTGATATCGGATCACAACGTAATGGGAGTGACGCAAAATCAGAGAAAGCCCTAAGAAACCAGGGGCACATTTGCTTTTCTCTGGGGATTTTTTTTTTCCCCCTCCTGCTACTTTTTTTTTTGCCTTCTCTCAGGTTCCAACTCTGAAATTCAAGGTCATCCACCTATTAGATGAATTAATTATAAGCCAAAAAAAAAAAGCAGCATTCATCGTACTCTGATCTCACTCATATCTGTAATTAAGGGTAAATATAATCTTCCTTTATAGAAATGTACCACCCACCCATTACATTTAAAGTGCTGATTGAAATGAAATAATAGTTCAGAGCAAGATGATTTTAGTTTAACAAGAAAAAAGTTGATAATTTAAGCTTCAAGCAGTTCTATTTTTGATTACCATTCAGTTATAAATCTAATTTGAGATATATGCTGCTTTTCTGTTAAGTCAAGTTTAATTCATGGTTTGCATTCTTGGTTGTATAAGCAAAGTTCAGTGGTTGATCAAGGATGTTAAACTCCTCCTAAAAGGAATAGGGGGACGGTTGAGAATGTATTAGGAAGACAGTCTGAGACCCAGATCTGATGTAAAACAAAACACAACAAAATTTAATTGAAAAAGATGTTCACAGAATGTCGTGTTTGGCATTTGAATGGCTAAGCTAGGACTGGCTATTTGCTGGAGAATTGGTTGCAGGGGGTGAGCCCCAAATCATGGTTGACAAAGTCAGCGTATTCTTTGGTTAGGGTATTTTTTAAGTCTTGAAATTGTTTGCCTTTGGAAGAAAATAAGGAGTGAATAAGGGGGAAGGGCTTGTCTCATCGCATGGTGGACAGTTGAGCAAAATGCTAAACTATGGGTTTAAGATTTACAGGTTGGCTCTGTGAGATGCCACATCTTGTTTCCAGTGTTTCCTGGCAGATTCAGGCAGCTTACTACTGGGACCCAGCATAACCGCAGAACATGAGCTTGCACAATGTGAAAAACCTAAAACCATTATAATCCTATTTAAGGCAAGGATGAATTTGCCCATTTTGAAAGTCGACTTAGTGTTTAAACTGAACTTTTATTAAGCATAAATTTGTCTTCAGCACTCTATATACGTGTACATAAATTCATATTATAAAGGAATGCCTTGTGTAGTGTTTCATTTACCTTAAATCAAATGTCATCAACTTTTTAAAATTCGTAAACGCAGATTTTTCAGCCAGTGGAAAATTTTTTATCTTTCTCTTCGCTACAGAGAGTTAAGTATGTGACGTAAAGGCCAAACAATAGTAAATGGTCATTGTTCATTTTGTAAGTGTACTCTACAATAAGAACACATATATTTTTATCTTCATTTTCCCTAAGGGGGTGTTTAGGGCCCCGTTAAGTGTGAGGAAATGTTTATTTTTGTTGCTTTAGAAGAATGATTCTATTGTCCAAGAGCAAAAGAAAAAGGAACAAACAGGTCTGAAAAGAAAGAAACAGGAATGTGCTTTGTGGGAAAAAAGGAAAAAAAAAAAAACAAATCAGGAGCCATAAAGGTTTGTAAGTTCTATCTGGTCTCAGTAGTACTGTGTCACTGTCCATAGTCCATGTGGCTGCACATGCAAGAGGTGGATGCATGATTTATTTACAACTGGCCCATTAAATGATTTGCTTTTAAATTCACAACAATAAGGTCAACCACAGCCGGATAGCTATTCTGTAGTTATCATTTTATATTTTTCACAGCTCTATTGTCAGTGCTGCTAAAACCCAGGATAGCAAGTGTGTTTGTTTTTAGGTTGACCTATTGAATGCATTTACTTTCTTGGGAGTGAAAACCTTTGCCTCCAGGACCAACAAGAATGAACCAGTGGTTAAGCTAATTAAAAAAGACAAGCAAGCATTTCAACAACTTTGCTCAGCCCTTTTCTGAATATTCTGTACATACAGTTTTTTACAAAATGAGAAATGAAGAAATATTCTGGAATACAAAGTTATGATCAAACTCCTCTTTCCAATGAAATGAAGATTCATTTGTAGATTCACCAAACTGTGAAGGAGGTTGTGATTTCGAATCATTCACAGGTTTAGTGATGGAAATTTCAAAGAAAACCTGGACTGAGACTTAAATAAATATAGACTTTGTTAATAAGAAATGCCAAGGGTGAAATTCAGGTTGGGATTCTAAAATTTTGGAATGCCACTCTTTAAATGATAAAGAAATTATTTGAGGTTATACTGCTTTTATATCTTCCTTAAACTCAGAAGCGGAAGTACGTGAGCATGCAGATGTCAGGTTTTTATCTAGTAAACAATCTGTTTTTTATAAGGTATTTATGTGATAAATATTAAAACACTAGCAATGAATTTATTACTTAAAATGTGCTTTCAACCTGAAATCTCATCCTTGAAGTTTTATTTTAAAGTCACATTTATTATATATCTCCTGAAAAAGTCTGAAACTGGATTCAGTGAAGTCAAGCTTGTCAGTAGCTGGTTAGCCTTTATATATCACTCATCCAACGCTGACAAAAATCCCTCGGAATAGAGAGATTCTCTTTATGATATTTAGGTATATGGTGGTGGATAGGGGAGGTTTGAATTTTTGATTTTCCAGCTTATGGGTCATATTTGACCAACTGCTTTCACTGGAAGACATGCCACTTTGTTGAGCTATTTAGGAATCAAAAAGACTGTCTTAATTTAAAACAAGGACCCTTTGTTTTAGTTGGTGACTGCCTTGTGAAATTTTTCAGTTCTCAGCGGGTTAACCAGGGAACAGGGGCAGAGTCATAATTGGCCTATTTAGAGTATTTTGCATGTGAATAGTGTGTTAGTGAAGCATCCCTAAGTCTGTTGTGAGTGACATGGTGATTAGAATTTAGATTAGGGAAAACACATTCTGTACTTTATCAAGGACAGTAATTAGTTCAGTCAGTAAAAGTTGATTACAAGTAACGATAAAGTTAGATTTTTAGTACTTAATTTTAAAATTTCTTTATTAAACAGTAAATTTGTTCTTAATATAAACGGTGCTATCTACTCCTGTCTTATTGCATATCAGAATAATTAAAAGAACAATGTGTTCAATGCAGAGTATAATCAGGCGATTTATATATTATGGGTAAGTTTCTATGTAGTTTTTAGAAAATGCAATATTATATAATCTTTCTTATGTCATCAGTTTTGAAAGTTTAATAATTTGTCACACTGTGATAAGTTAATGATATTTGTGAAAGTTTTCTGGTGTTCAGGTAACTGCTTTATCTGTGTGTGTTTTCGCTTCTGATGATCCTCCAGAGGGCATTCTAATGTCCTTTGATTTGTTCCTGTTAGCTTAGAATGCCTACTATTTCTATAATTTTGGAAGTTAGTGTGACGACTGAATTTCCTCTTGGCTCAGTTGGCATTTTCTCTTCTGTGGGTGCTGTGTAAATTTGTGGAGGCTCCTGAGGTGCCGGTACAGAGAGGGAGGGTTCTCAGTGGAGTTGATAGTCTACACTCACACCCAGGGTGAGCGGCCGGGGGAAGTTGTGTGCGTTCACAAAATGAGATTCTTCTCGGTTCTTGTTAAAGAAGAGCAAGAAAGAGTTCCTAGATATGAGCCTGAGTCTAGAGAAAGAAAACATTAGTCTTACATAAATGCCATTTTTTTAAAATGAAATGAAAATGTTAGTCATCTTAAAAGACTTTAAAAAATATTGTTCAAAGGGAATCCTCATCTCCTTTTCCTCTTCAGAAGTAAAGAATTAAAAATCACAAACTTGGTGATAGCTTCTTAGACTGCTTTTCTTTCTGGTTTTTGTTTTGTTTTAATTGTTTCTGCTTAGCAGATGCTGTTTTCTTTATTGCGTTGGTTTAAGTACTCACAATCAGTTGGAGGGTGGTGAATGTAAAAAAAATTAACCTTATATGTTTGTTTTCCCTTTTTTAACCTTTTAGCAGAGTCTCCTTGGAGGTGACATGGATATGGGCAACCCAGGAACCCTTTCACCCACCAAACCTGGTTCCCAGTACTATCAGTATTCTAGCAATAACCCCCGAAGGAGGCCTCTCCACAGTAGTGCCATGGGTAAGGTACTCCTCTGTTTGAATGCCTGAGTGATTATGATTAGTCTTTATCTTTCTTTCTTTCTTTTTATAATACCATTTTCTCATCCTACTCTCTCCGCACCCCCCCAAAAAAACCCCATAAAATTTGGCCCAATTGTCAGACAGGTGACCCCCCACCAGTAGTACTTGGAGGGGGTGTATGTTAACAACTTAGAGTAGCAGAACTTTTTTGGTGTACGCTTATTTCTGGCTGTCTCTTGGCTGTATACCTAAGAAACTTTTTTAAAAATCAAAGCAATAAAAAGTTGAAAATCTTTATTTTCATGAACAAAAGAGAATTTGATTTCTGCTAGAATAAAGGGTGGTAGTGGTAACTGCAGTTTGCTAGGATGATGACTTAAGGAAGCGTGGTCTAATCTAAATGCCTTCGTGGTTTAATATGTTTTAGTCAGGAAAATGAGCATGTGGGAGCTCACAGCATCTTCATTTTCTTTCAGAGGTACAGACAAAGAAGGTTCGAAAAGTTCCTCCGGGTTTGCCATCTTCAGTAAGTACTGCCTGTTTCTGCTTTGTATATTGTTTATTTTGTTCTATTTTGTATCGATGCAAAGGAGATAGAAGTAAATGAGATTCCATGCGCCCAGAGCATGTTTATCTAGGAGGTGGATGGGGTAGGAATGACCTGCACGTCCAGCCGCCTGACCCACGTTGGCGTGATTAATTGCACATCCTGGAAGACTGGGTGGTTTTGTTGATATTCAGCAGGTTAAGCTCTAAAGAAAGCCTTGAAAAGGTGCCTGAAGTTTGAGGAGTTTTACCTGTGCAGGGCTTTCAAGAGAATGAGTATTAGTTTCATGTGTTGGTTAAATTCTTTGTCAGTATTATGATGATTTATGGATTTGCATGCGAAAGGAGATTTGTGGAGAGGATTTAGGAAAAATTTACATGGGTTTCAGCCCAGAGTGCAGGAAGAATGTCTCTATTTTCTAGAGAGGTTGCTGAATAAAGGCTGCAGAGGTAGCTGCATCAGTAGCCGTTTGTGTTTGTAATACCAGGTGACAGCTAGAAGAAGCCAGCTGTAACCAAAAGCATTCTGGGTCTTTTTAATAGCTGGAGCTACAGGCAGGAGTTTTGAGTCCCCTCGACCCCCCAACACAGCAAAGTTGGTTGTGATTACAACCAAATACATGATATCTTATTTTGAATTCTTACATACATTTTGAATTCTTATATATATTTCCAGATTTGATTTCCTAGATAATTTTACTTAAATGTTGTTTAGCACTGGTCTATTTCTGGCAATTTTCTCCTTATGTAAAATAAAGACATGATTTTCTCCCTTCTTTTTTTTGTTCCTATCTTCCTTCCTCCTTTTTTTCATTCTTCCTTCCTTCCTGTGATGTATGTAGAGAGTCTTAATATCATTTTGTAGGGTACTAAGCAGCCTTTGAAAAGAATGCTAATGAGCCTTATTTTATAAGTTTTATACGTAAATAAAATTATATTTAGATTTCTGAAAGTACATTACCAATCAGTGCTTACATATTAGTTTTATTTCATTTTTAATAAATTAGAAGAATAATGGGTTTTGCAAATGTGCTAAGATTAGATTAACCCAAACACCTGTGTATTTGACTTGATTTCAGTTCAGCTCATCCAAAAAATTATTAAAACGAATATATCAGAATAAGTCTTACCAGAAAAAAAGCAGATTTGCTTTGCTGATTATCATAGACTTGGTAATGTTGAAGAAGCAGCACAAAATTATCCATAAATATAGAAAAATATTATGTAAATAAAATTGCCAATAGGGTATAAAATAGTCATTTTGGTCTATCAGTAAGTTATTTAAAATATACTGAGTTGTTTATTCTTTGAATTTCTATGTTGTATTGAAATTGACTATTATACCCAAAGGTTTTTATAAGCATATTTTAAGCTTGAAGTTAGTGGTGGATTTCATTTAGCTGAAACTTTAGCTTTTAATAGCTTTTATGACAACTTGAAATGATAGAGTCCTCACAGCTGTGTACATTTTAAACATGCCTGAATCTAATACGGACAATATTAAGTACATTAAGTGGACCTTTCAACGTTCTGAAACGATAGAGTAAACTCTGTGCTATAAAAGCCATGAAAAACTTAAAGCTATCATACTCTATTTATACCTCATATTAAAATTAGTTTGTTTTTTTCCAATGCTAAGATTATGCAGAAATCTACACAATTTCTAAGGAGTGCCTTGATGTGACACTAGATGTTATCTTGTGCTTAATCATTGTCAACATTTTTCATAATTCATTGTAAATTTTTAAGTATTTCCCTGTAGTTAACTGGCCCCTGTAAATAAATTTTACTGGTACAGTTTTTTCTTTGCTGGTAGGTTTATGTGTTGCTAATGTATTGTGATATGTGCAGAAATACAGAAGTGTCCTTCCTTTCTTGCCAGTAAACAAAACTCAGGAATTAGAAATTTAGTTTGTATTATATTTAATTTTGGGCTTTTAGTCGTCAGTTTAGGATTTACTCTTCTTAGAGAATTTATCTTGGCTAAATGTTTTAATGGTCCTTATGGAACATTTTGGTAAATAACCCTTTTCTTGAAACAGAGGGAGAAGAAAAATTCAATTAAAAATGGAACATTTAAAAAAAAATGGAACATTTAACCTTTTTTTTTTGAGCAAGGAAAATAAGATAGTTTAAGTAATTTTAGAATCCAATCATCCATTTGCTCGTTACTTAAAAAAATCTCAGCCCTATTTTAATAGCTTTAACTTAGTTTCTATTAGCTTTGCTATATTAGCTTTGTTATGTGTATTGCTTATTGCTTATAATAAGATCCACATGCCTTACTACCACACAAAATATATATTTTAACTCGATTCCTAAAAGACATTCTGTATTAGACACTATAACACTTTTGCCCCAGTAGATCTATATTTTTAGACTCTGCCATGTGTATTCCTTTTTTAAGCTCAAATAAAATCATGACTATTCGATAAGAGATACTTCTAAAACTTGTTTTCATGTGTGTGAGTATTTGTCTAACAGATACTAAAAGATTGGGGATAATGAAAGATTTCCTTTGGAGAGATTATGACTAGATAAAGACATTTATATGTTTTATTCGATACATATTTACCATGATAAATAGTAATAAATCTGTCACAATCTGTTATAGCAACTCACTCTTTTCCCCCTTTTTGAATGGGCCCCCTCTCTTCCCTTAGACATAACAAAGAAAACTTAAAACTGTGACATTCCATGATCAGATCTTATTTGTGACACCACTGTGGTAAGAGGCTGGACTTCTTTTGCTGGATCTTCCCAGGCTATCAGGAGAGAGAGGGGATTGCCTGGCCCTGTTTTGAAAACACTGCAGCATCTGTGGGAGAGAGAAAACATAAGCCTGGCCCGACATCATGCCATGGATGATCTGGCAGGATCCATGAATGTGTGTTTGTACTATGTGCTGCGTCTAGAGACCTCAAGTCACTAGAGAAGCATGACACAGGGCTAGGGTGCTGGAAGAACCATCCGGCAGGGTCTACAGGCAATGGAGGGAAGGAGAACATGGGCCTGTGGTTAGGGTTAGGATGATTTTTTTTTTTTTTTCAAGAGGAAGCCTGTGTGAAATGACAGCTATCTAATTGCCCACGAGAGCTCTACTTATTACTGCAGAACATTTTTATGTTCTCTGTTCAAATTTAAGTATGTTGCTCTTTTGAGTCACATCCCAATTTCTTGTAGCCCTCATCTTTTGAGAAGACTTCAGTAATAAATCGTCATTTTTTTGCGGATGCCAGAATTTATTTTGCATGTGTAATCTCTTGAATCTACATGTGAACTTCTTGTTTTGTTAGATTTCTACATCTTGGTTTTCTATTTCAAAACATATTTCAGCTTAAACTTATTATTTTGCGACTTGACTGCTCATTCCAGCAGATTTCTTGCCTTTAACCTAATAATCGTACACATTGAATCATGAATTCATACAGAGAAAAATGTACCACATTAAATTACGTTTTTGGAAAAAATGATTCATGATTCTTAACAGAAATTAACATGAAAGTACTAAAGTCTAGAAAGTAGCAAAAAAAATTATATTGTGCTGCTTTTAGATATTTTCATCACACACACAGAAAAAATGATTAAACAAAGATATTGTCTTGTCTTTAGGAAAGAAACTTTATTGTGCCCACCAATATGTAAACACATAAAACCTTGACCTTCTTATAATTTGAATATTTCATAATTATTTACATTTTATCAGAAACTGTTAACTACAACCTTTCTACTTCAAACATTGGTGAAATTTGTTTCCACTTCAAATGTGGTTTGAAACTTTAATAATGGTCTTACCCTGACCCCGGTTGGGATGTCTTGAACTTCAGATTTCCCTGGAAATGTGAAGTTTTATTCTGAGAAATAGTTTATGGCCTTTCTTACCTCCAACGATCTTTTCTCAAACTGTACTTTTCAGTAAAGACTATTTTCTGTGTTAAATTCTGGCTTTTTTGTGTTTTGGGTTTTGTTTTAAAATTCAGGAGGATCTGGCAAGCTTTAAGTGGTCAGAAATGATTTTGGACACATGGATCCTAAGAAAAACAATCTCTGCTACCATAAAGATCCTAAAATAAGATCTGGCACTCCAACATAATTTGAGACATGAGTTACTGAATAGGTAGATTTGAAAAATAAACACTCAATGTATATTAGATACCAGGTTTATCAATTTTCATTGATAAAAATTGAAATGAATTCTTAAATAAAATTAAACCTTTAAGTCTGGATTAGAGTTTCTTGCACAGAAGAGAAAACCCTTTTTATTAGGGGTATCAGGAAAAATGATTAATGCTAATGGCATTAAGTGCCCTGTATGTTTCCCATTATATAAGAATCCTCATATTGGAAGATTTCAAACATGATATTGAGTCCATACCTTAAGCTATTTTGGAAATAAAACTTCTTTTTTCCCCCAAATGATTAAAGAAATCACAAACAATTTAAAAGAGAAATTGGTAAATAGATCTTTTTCTTAGTAGAGGCCCAGAAATGATATATGATTGAAAAATCAGTACTTAAGTCAGAAATACACAATTTCACTTTTGAAATTGATTGTAGAGAAATCAGAGCAGTGCTTTCATGTTAACAGAATTTTAACTTGAGTAATCATATAGTTTTCTTTAAAAGGAAATTTCTATTAAAATATTGTGTCTAGCACAAGTGAACTACATATCAGCTAGCTGGGCTCTATCCTGTGTAAGAAAGTCTAGAAGTAGTCCATTGTGTGGTAAGAAATAAAAGGAGGGGCTTCTTCAAGGTTGATTCTTGGAGAGATAGATACTTTGCGAAGAGGTATAATTGTAGGTGTTTAAATTAAAATATCAGGATAGCTCACAATACTCAATTTTAGTGTGCCCATTTTCTAATTAAAGATATTAAAATAGGCTTAAATATTAAAATTATGTTCATTAATTATGAAAATGTATAGGCAAAAGGGAGGATAAGGGTAGCACAATTAAACCATCCCAAATAGAACAAAAC